CCGTATCTTCGTTTCTTCGTTAGGTAAAGTACGCCCCGAAGTCACAAACAACCACCGCCACCGCGCGGGCCCGGTGTAAATCACTTTTAAAAAGCGGCTCGCGAGTCCCTATGGCCTGGGCCGGGCCGTCCGTGTGCAGGTCTCTCGGCCCCCCCGCTACGCCACGCCCTGGAGAGATGCTTTGGAGTAGACACGGCAATAAAGCAGATAAGGGAGCATTTAGGCCCCTAGACTCACTATCGAAGCCATGGCCACGGCTGCGGTTGTGGTGGTGGTGCATCGTGAAGGAGAGTGTTGTTGCCCGGGTACACACTAAATTCTTTATGTACCCATTTAAGTAAGTTAACGCAGAAATTTAATACGCAAATATGTTATTGTTCAAGTTTGGCACGGAATCATTAACACTTTCGGACCTTTATTAAATGCACTGGTTGCACTGTTCGTGAGTGGGAAACGGTAACAACTCGACTCGAGTAAAGCATACACAAGTATGTCCCTAAAACAGATGAATACCAATTGATAAAAAACAAGTGAGTTTCCACTATTCTAAACGATTTAAAATTTTACTGAAAACATGAAATAACGGAAGCTGCCCCGTGTCCATGCGGGGTCTCTTGCTCGGTCTCTTTGGTGCGTTTTTGGCGGCTCTAGTTATCGCAGCCCCCCGATGCATCAGGCTGACTGCATTCATGGCCTGCTGTCAGCACCGGGACCGGGAGCCACGTCCAGACGGCCCGGCCCATGTGGTGGACCAGAGAGAGAGAGAGAGAGAGAGAGAGAGAGAGAGAGAGAGAGAGACTTAGCAGGGCCTTAGCAGGCCTCATCCTGGCCTGGCCTCACAGTGAGCCGGGCGCATTCTCTGCTCCGCGCCATTTTCATAACAGGTTCTCAGCCCCCCTCTCCTCCCTTCCTCCCGGTCTCCCTCTCCCTCTCTCGCTCCCAGTTTTGACCATCCGCGCCTCCCACTTCCTCCCCCCTCTACCCCCCCCCCTTCTCCTCGCACGCGGCTGGCCCTCTCGCACTAATAACTGATCGCCGTGAAGTACAAATGACCCCCGCAGCAGCAGCAGCCTCTGGTACTGCTCGGTGTGCTCGGGTCGGGCCGGTGACGCGGCGGCCAGCGCGGGGCCGCGAGCAGCCTCTGCTCCTGCTGCACTCTCGGCTGGCCTATCGCTGCAGGGCTGGCGGGGTGGGGCACATTGGCAGAACGCCCGCCTGCCGCGTTACTTGTGAGGCGTTATTACTTCGGATTCTCAAGTTTGGTTAATGCCATAGTCCATCTTCGCCAGATCTCCCCCCAAGAAAGCTGACTTGAAACTTGACTTAATTCAGTGTTTTAACCTTTGTGCCTTGATTTCTTCCAGGTGTCCGCGACGGATCCGGACTGCGGCGTCAACGCCATGGTCAACTACACGATCGGCGAGGACTTCGGCAAGTTCAAAGAGTTCTCGGTGAGGTCGGCCACGGGCGAGATCTGCATCGCCGGCGACCTGGACTACGAGGCGAGGAACGTGTTCGAGTTCGCCGTTCTCGCGACGGACAGAGGTGAGTTGTCGCGGCGAGGGCGGCCACACACGCGGGCGACAGGCAAGTCAGTGGCGAAATAAAATAGAGATGTTTAATAAAGATCACAACAGCAAGCGCCCGGTCTATATAGGGTTGGCTGCGTGAAAAAAAATCATTCTGTGGCTGCGAGTTTGAATGTTTCTGAAAGGTGAAGTAGTATTTTTTTTAACGTGCGATAGTGATCACGGTGGCATCCGCTCCCACTCCTACGCCCCTCACCTGACTGACCTGTTGTGAGGTGGATTGGAAGGGAGGGAGGGGAGGGGGGGGGGTCCTGGCTCCTGATTGGATTTCGGTGATGATTGTGTTCCGGACGGCGATCGCACTGCTGATAAGAGAGTCGGGTTTGTTAACTAACAGGGCGAGCTTCGCCTCCATTATACACTCGCTGGACTCGCTTGTCTTTTGGGGGCCGCGGGGCGATGGTTCGAAATCCACAACTGAGAAGAGGAAGAAGAAAGAGACGAGATAGACGAAGAGGATTGGGTTGGGGGCTTGGGAAAG